AGGAATTGTTCCAGTATGAGATGTTTATAATAAGTTTGGTGTGACCCAGCCAAGGAGCTTAATATAACACGGTTAAGTGAATGGTGGGAGGGGAGAGTCCCGTTCTGTGCCAGCTTGCATTTATTAGTAATCAAACAGGTTTGCTGATGAGACTCGCTGAGCAATTACTAAATCTGGGACTTGTGGTTTGCAAATCATTTTGACTAACAGCTGCCGTCACCTATCTTAGGACAAGAAAAAGTAAGTGTTATTTTATCACACTACATATTAGTCACAAAGAGACTAAAAACAGTAAAATTTTGGCACATATAAAATTTACTGGTCAAGTCGAAAATCATGTTCTGCCCTTGTACTAGGCTCACTAAAGATGACTTTCCTGGGAACATCTCAGTGACTGTTTCTTCGGTCTCCATGAAGAGTTTACTGCCATCTGTTAGTGAAGGCCTCTTTTGGCAAAAGGAATTTGTTTATCTACATACATACACAGATATTTGTAAAAAAATTTTTTACATCCTTTACTTAAGAGTTTTGCCTTAAATCTCCAACTGGGACTTGGGTGAAATATTTGTCCAAATTTCATAATTAAGTATTGGATGATTATTAAGATATGTCTACCTCATCTAAAGTTTGGAAGTTTAATGTTCAAGAAATAGTTATTAGTAAAGGGAGAAAATACTTAAATGGTTAGTAAAGGTAAGATAATTACATTGTCAACATAATCTTTTGAATTAGAGTTTGATTCAGGAGGCTTTCTAAAGAGCTTTTGAGTTAAACTCAAATCTTTTTTCAAGGATGTTACTTTTGTATCTCTATTTTTTTGGAAAGAAATCCAACTATTTTTTAGTGATTGAAGAATATGGATATTGAAAAATACAAATTATGCCCTTATGTTTGTCTATTCCTAAAAAAATATGAAATATTCTCTATACTGTACATACATAGTGAATTTATTCTGACTCCTTTAGGAAGTCAGAACAAATATAGAAGATTTTGTTAAATCTCAGAGTATAAATGCCTAGAACTCTGCAGTTACATCACTGGTGAAAATTAAATATCTAATGAATAAACTTACTTTAGGTAAGAAGTCACATTTTTAAAAAAATTTTTTTAAAGATTTTATCCATTTAAGAGAGAGAGCACAAGCACGGGGAAGGGGCAGAGGGAGAGGAAGAAGCAGACTCCCTGCTGAGCCTCCATCCTGGGACCTGAAGATCATGACCCGAGCCAAAGGCACACACTTAACCAACTGAGCCACTCAGCCCCCCTGCCCCCACAAATCACATTGTTTTATAGATGTTTCCAGGCCTCAGAAGCTTTTAATCATTGCTTTGGATCAGGGAGGTGGTTGAAAAGTGTTGACTAAAGAGGTTTACTGTATATATTAAAGCAATTCAGGCAATAACAATAACGAGACTCAGATTCTAGAAATAACAATGAGGCGTAGTTCAATCAATGAGAAATAAAACACATGAAATAATTGGTTTAGATAATCTCTAACATTATTTTACATTCAGTGAATTGAATCTAAATGGAAATTCCCAGATTTGCAGTCCCAGTGTTCTGTTTATAACTACAGACTTAGCAAACAATATAGCATTATGCATGGTGCGTGATGCAAAAGAGAGGCCCTTAATTTTTCCATCCTCACTCCCAAACTAGGATAACCCTCTATTATATGCTCCCAGAGCCCCTGGCGCTTTTCTTTCCCAGTGTGTAATGATAGAGTTATCTCTGGGCTTTAGGGTTGCTAGATTTATCTAATAAAAATACAAGAGTCTCAGTGAAATTTGAATTTCAGATAAATGATTTTCCAGTATAAGTTTTTCCTGTGCAACTTTTGTGACCTCCTTATATTAAAAAAATCAGCTCTTTATCTGAAATTCAGATTTTTTTAAAAAAGATTTTGACAGCACAAGCAAGGGGAGTAGCAGGCAGGGAGAGGGATAAGCAGGCTCCCCACTGAGTAAGGAGCCTGATGTGGGGCTTGATCCCAGGACCCTGGGATCATGAGCTGAAGGCAGAGGCTTAACCCACTGAGCCACTCAGGCACCCCTGAAATTCAGATTTTCTTGGGCATCCTGGATTTAATGTGTATTCCCAGTAGCTTACTGGTTTGTATCTGAACTTCCTGCAGACTACAGGCCTTAGGAGAGTAGATACTCTCTGGAGCAGAGGTATTAGCACTTTCTAGGTACTTAATAAATATTGAGTGCCTAAAGGGCTGAGTGATATGGAGTACAACTGAGGTTCAGAGAATTTTTTAAAAAAGCATTTCTTGGGGCATCTGGCTGACTCAGTCAGAAGAGCATGTGACTCTGGATCTCTGGGTTGTGAGTTAGAACCCCACGTTGGGTGTAGAGGTTACTAAAAATAATAAACTTAAAAAATGAACACTTCCCTTTGGGATTTCTACAAGTGTGCCATCTTTACACTGTAAATAGTCGATCAACTGAGGGAAATAAAAAGGAAAATCCATTTAAAAGAGACTCCAATGGTGCCTGGGTGGCTCAGTCTGTTAAGCATCTGCCTTCGGCTCAGGTCATGATCTCTGGGTCCTGGGATGGAGCCCCACATCTGCCTCCCTGCTCGGCAGGGAGTCTGCTTCTGCCTCTGCCTTTTACGAGTGTGCCCTCTCTCTCAAATAAATCTTTAAAAAAAAAAAAAAAAAAAAAAAGATTCCAAGCAGCTGACCCTGAAAATATAATTAACTTCCAGTTATTTTTTTTTTTTTTAATTTGACAGAGATCACAAGTGGGCAGAGAGGCAGGCAGAGAGAGAGAGAGAGAGGAGGAAGCAGGCTCCCCGCAGAGCGGAGAGCCCGATGCGGGACTCGATCCCAGGACCCCGAGATCATGACCCGAGCTGAAGGCAGAGGCTTTAACCCACTGAGCCACCCAGGTGCCCCCTAACTTCCAGTTTTTAATTTGCAGTTAGTACTTTTTCAAAGATCGTTATTGCGCAAGTTCGACTTTATTTATTTATTTGACAGAGATCACAAGTAGGCAGAGAGGCAGGCAGAGAGAGAGGAAGGGAAGCAGGCACCCTGCTGAGCAGAGAGCCCAATGCGGGGCTCGATCCCAGGACCCCGAGATCATGACCTGAGCCGAAGGCAGAGGCTTTAACCCACTGAACCACCCAGGCGCCCCTCGACTTGTGTTTTTAAATGTTATGGCAGATTGCAGCTAATCTCTTCTATTGAGATCTAAAACTGTAAAAGAGGTTTGGATGGGATAGACGGGAGAAGTTTCCAGGCCATATATGGAGGAGGTGGCCCAAATTTCAAAATCCTTATCACATCTTTTTGAACTCCGATGTTCTGCTTTATATTAGAAAAAGCAAAACAAATCAATTTTTGAGAATGTTCATTAGCTCATGAAGAGCCAAGGTCTTAAGTGTACTCTTTAGTTCATAAACCATGGAGTGGTCACTTAGGTGAGTCATGGAAGTTTTGCAAACAGATGATAAAAGGAGAAAAATGCCTTGGAAAAACAAATAGAAATGCGTGTCTTCTATGCTAGAAACATTAATCTGGCTCAGTCACAAATGCCCACAAGGCAAAGCCTTTCCCTGGGGCTTGAACAGCCTCCCACCTTAGTATCCAAGAAGGAGGGTAGACAGGATCTGAGAGTTTGAAGTTCCAGTTTTAGGGTTTCTATTAGCCTCATGCCCAACCTGTGCTTCCATTCTCTGACTCTTGAAAGGAAAACCAGTTCTTTCATATTGAGAACATTTGTAGATACCTAATCAGTCTTACAAGACTTTTTGCTCTCTTCTGTCATTCCCTCTACATCACTTCCTACCTCCCAGTGGAGAGATGAAGAACATCTCCCATGTGGCCAGGGGAAATTCTCCAGAAAAGGTGGTAGCTGTGAGGAGTTGAGGGTCCACACTGGCGGGAGCTGGGGGAAAGGTCTACAAGCCTGGTATTTGTGTATATCCTATATGACTGCGGATTACCAGTGATGCTTGTAACAATGTATTGTGTACCTAGAAAAAAAAAATCACATCATGGTTTTTGAATACAAGAATTAAAATTGCTTTTGAGGAAACAACATGCATACACAGTTTAAACAATCAAAGGATAGAAGTCAAAGTTTAAATGGCAAACATGAAGTGCAGTTATAAAGCCTAGGAGAGAACAGAAAGAATAGATTCCAAAGAGTATACACCAATTCCAGAATTGCCATAGAGGAATGTGTTTTAGGCTTGGCGTTGAAAAATAACCCTTGAGTATATGGAGAGGAGGGTATTGTCAAGTGGCAACACAAAGGTTATGATCATGACTGATTAGTAAAGGATTCTGCTGGTAGGAGCTTCATTGTCCTCTTGAAGTAAATTGAAGCCAGATTGTGAGGATTTTTGGGTGTCTTCTTCTAAATACCAGTATTTCCAAATACCCCTTCCAATTATAGTTCTTCTAAAATTTCTCTTCCTTTTGTTCATCTTCTATGAGGGGATTTTTAAAGAAAGATCTATGAATGGAAATCTTAAGGTCCTAAAAATCATCACTTTCGAACTCTAACACTCTAGCTATTTGTAACTATTCAAACTACTGTAACTCTTTGCCTAGGCAAAATTTTGGACTTCTTTCCACAAGGCATATATAGTAAATTCTCATTAGATGAGAACCAGAACAGTACTCCAACAGGAACTGTAAGCAACTTCACCCTCACCATCATATGTGACATATTATTATAAATGAAAAGCAGTATGGTTAGGAGTCCAGCCTCGAGTAGGACTGCCTGAGATCAAATCCGGCTCCAGCACTTATCTGGGGTGACTTTGGGTGTGTCTTATTTTCTCTTTACCTCAAAATGGAGATAATAGTAATGCCTACTTCATAGGGTTGTTTTGAGAATGAAATGAGTTGATACATATAAAGAATATAGTACCATGCCTGGCACATGGCACATACTTTGTGTTAGCTGTGGTTGTTTTCAGGAAATTTGAGTGCCAATTAAACACATGGAAAGTTGTTTAAACCAATTGTTTAAAGACCTCTTAATCTGTCCACAGATGATTTAGGACTAAATAGCATTGCTAGATTATTGTTGGGACAGTGCTAACTTAAAAACAACAACATGTCTACTTCTGCCTGCACTTTAGCCACTTCACCTGCATGATTGGAGGAAGATCAACAATGGCCGCTGTGAGGAAGGTCACTGACAAGCGGCATAACCCAGTGGAAAGCATCTGTAGAAAAATCAGAGCCATCCAAAAGAGAGAAGACATTTCAGATCCAGTTCGACAGATTCTCAAATACCAGTCGAGCAATTTTGATAGTCCACAGATTAACACTGAGAAAGATATTGAAGAGGTTCTGAAGAACATGGCGACCACTCCTATTCCCTCGCCCAACACTTTCTTCTCCAGTACCGCGAGAGACAATGCCATCATTACATCTCCTCAAATAAGGTCTCCAAGAACCCCATCCATTTCTCATCTCCGCTCTCCCGAGAATGCCACATATCCTGTTCCACTCACAAGTTCTGAACACCTCTCAAGGCCAAGACCTGAGAGCTGTCAGAATTCTACATCCTGGGCATCACAGACCAGGAAAGGGGAGCACTTCTCTACCAAGGATTTGAATAACCATTGTGAAAATCATTTTAATGCCTTAACACTTGACTTTGATTCAACCTCTGATAAAAACTCTGAATGTCTTACTCCTCAGGAATCAGTGGTGAAAAAATTATCTCTAAATGAAGCTGGTAAATATTAATCTTTTAATGTTTGTTCTTCCAATAAATGAATAAGCATATCACTTCCTGAATACCCGAGTTAAAAAAAAAACCCAATCCACATGATTGAAATTTGGATGAAAGCATTCATCTTTCCCTTTTTAAGTATGCTTCTTTCTTTCTCTTTCAAAAATTTTATTTTTTAAAATTATTTTTAAAAATTTTAATAGATATGGGGCACCTGGGTGGCTCAGTGGGTTGAAACCTCTGCCTTCGGCTCGGGTCATGATCCCGGGGTCCTGGGATCGAGCCCCGCATCAGGCTCTCTGCTCAGCGGGGAGCCTGCTTCCTCCTCTCTCTCTGCCTGCCTCTCTGCCTACTTGTGATCTGTCAAATAAATAAAATCTTTAAAAAAAATTTTAATAGATGTATAATTGACCTGTTAATTTCACGTGTACAATGTAATGATTCAACAGGTATATACTTTATTAAGTGCTCACCATGGCAAATGTATTTAATGTCTGTCACCATGCAAAGTTATTACAATATTATTGACTATATTTCCTATGTTGTACTTTTCATCCTCAAGACTTATTTATTTTATAACTGAAAGTTTGTACCTCTTAATCCACTTCACCTATCCCGTCACCTACCTCCCCTCTGGCAATCATCAATTTGTTCTCTGTACTTTTTTAGTCTAATTTCTTTTTGTTTTATTTTGTTTCTTAGATTCCACACATAAAGTATATGTTGTCTTTGTCTGATTTATTTCACTTAGCATAATGCCCTCTAGGTCTATCCATGTTATCCTGAATGGCAAGATTTTATTCTTTTTTATGGCTGAGTAATATTCCACTGGGTTCATATGCCAATTCTCCTTTATCCATTTATCAGTAGACATTTAGATCAGTTTACTATCCCACCAATAGTTTATAAGGGCTCTCTTTTCTCCATATCCTTACCAACACTTGTTATTCTTGACTTTTCAATACTGACTGGTGTGAGGTGATATTTCATGGTGGTTCTGATTTATGTATCCCTGATGGTTAGTGATGTCAGGCATCTTTTCATGTGCCTGTTGACCATCAGTATGTCTTTGGGGAAAATGTCTATTCAGTTCATCTCCCAATTTTTTAATTGGGTTATTTGGTTTTTTAGAGTTGAGTTGTTATTTATATATTTTGGATATTATCTTCTTACTGGATATATCATTTACAAATATCTTCTCCCATTCAGTTCATTGCCTTTTCATTTTATTGATGGTTTTCTAAGCTGTGCAAAAGCTTTTTAGTTTGATACGGTCCCAATACTTTTTTTCCTTTGTTTCCACATACTGAGGAGAATGATTCAGAAAAATATTGCTAAGGTCAATTTCCAAGAGTTTACTGCCTATGTTTTCTTTCAGGAGTTTTATGGTTTTAGCCTTTATGTTTTGATATTTAATCCATTTTAAGTTTATTTTGGTGTATGATATAAGGAGTTTGCCTAGTTCCATTCTTTTCCATGTGGTTGTCCAGTTTCCCCAGTATTATTTATTGAATAGACTATCTTTTCTCTATTATACATTCATGTCTCCTTTGTCGTAGACTAATTGACAATGTAAGTATGGGTTTATTTCTGGGCTTTCTCTTCTTGATTTATGTGCCAGTACCATACTGTTTTGATTACTACAGCTTTGTAATATAACTTGAAATCTGAGATTGTGATGTCTTCAGTTTTGTTCTTCTTTTTCAAGATAACATTGGCTACTACTTGAGATCTTTTGTGGTTCCATATAAATTTTAGTATTCTAGTTCTTTGAAAAAAATACTTCTCAAAAATTTTAGGTAGGTAACATATAGTGCAGTATTGTTTCTGGAGTAGAATTCAGTGATTCCTCACTTACAACACCCAGTGCTCATCGTAACAGGTGCCCTCCTTAATACTCATCACCCATTTAGCCCACCGCCTACACACCTTCCCCTGTCAACCCTCAGTTTGTTCTCTATAGCTAACAATCTCTTATGGCTTATTTCCCTCTCTCCTTATTTTTTCCCCTTCCCATATGATCATCTGTTTTCTTTCTTAAATTCCACCTACGAGTGAGAGCATATGGTATTTGTCTTTCTCTGTCTGGCTTACTTCACTTAGCATAATATACTCTAGCTCCATCTATGTTGTTGCAAATGGCAAGAGCTCATTCTTTTTGATGGCTGAATAATATTGTGTTGTATATAAATATACCACATGTTCTTTATCCATTCAATAGTTGATTGACATTTGGGCTCTTTCTGTAGTTTGTTATTGATATGCTGCCATAAACATCAGGATGCATGTATCCTTTTGAATCTGTATTTTTGTATCCTTTGGGTAAATACTTAGTAATGCAATTCCTGGGTCGTAAAGTAGTTCTATTTTTAACAATTTGAGGAAACTCCATTCTATTCTCCAGAGTGGCTGCAGCAGTTGACATTCCCACTAACAGTGCAAGAGGTTTTTCCCTTTCTCTGCATCCTCACCACACCTGTTTCTTGTGTTGTCAATTTTAGCTATCCTTACAAGTAGTAATATCTTGATAGAGATCACTCTAAGTTTATGGATTTCATTGAATAGTATGGATATTTTAACAATATTAACTCTTAAAACCCATGAGGATGGTATATCTTTCCCTTTTTGGGTATTGTTTTTAATTTCTTTCCTCAATATCTTATAGTTTTCAGACTACAGGTATGCCACCTCTTTAATTTTATTCCTAGGGAAATTATTCTTTTTGATACATTTGTAAATTGGATTGTTTTCTTAATTTCTCTGTTATTTTGTTATTGGTGTGTAGAAATGCAACAGATTTCTGTATATTGATTTTGTATCCTGAGACTTCCCTGAATTCATTTATACTTCTAAGAGTTTTTGCTGTAGTCTTTAGGGTTTTCTATGTATAATATGACGTCCTCTAGAAATAGTGACAGTTTTACTTCTTCCTTACCAATCTGGCTGACTTTTATTTCTTATCTGATGACTGTGGCTAGGACTTCCAGTTCTATATTGAATAAAATTGATGAGAGTGGACACCCTTGTCTTGTACCTGATCTTAGAAGAAAAGCTTTCACTTTTTCACAATTGCCTGTGATGTTAGCTTTGGGTTTTTCACAGAAGGCCTCCATTATATTGAGATATGCTCCCTCTAAACCTACTTTGTTGAGACTTTTTTTTTTTTTTAAAATCATGAATAATGTTGTACTTTGTCAAATGCTTTTCTTGCATCTATTGAGATAATCATATGGTTTTAATCCTTAATTTTGTTAATGTGGTGTATCACATGGATTCATTGATGTGTATAGAATCATCCTTGCATCAATGAGCTAAATCCCACTTGATTATGTGAATGATCCTTTAATGTACTATTGAGATCAATTTGGTAATATCTTGTTGAGGATTTTTGCATTTATGTTCATCAGAAATACTAGTCTGTGGTTTCCTTTTTTGTAGTGTCCGTCTGATATTGGTGTTAGGGTAATGCAGTCCTCATAGCATGAACTGGAAGCTTTCCTTTCTCTTATATTCTTTGGAATAGTTTGAGACGAATAGGTATTAGCTCTTTAAATGTTTGATAGAACTCAACCGTGAAGCCATCTGCTCCTGGACTTATGTTTGTTGGGAGTTTTTTATTACTGCTTCGATTTCATTACTAGTAAGTGGTCTGTTCAGATTTTCTGTTTCTTCCTGATTCAGTTTTGGGAGATTGTGTGTTTCTAGGAATTTATCTGTTTTTTTTTTTTTTTTTAATTTTTATTTTCTTTATCTAATTTGTTGGTATACAACATCTTGTAGTCTTTTATAATCCTTTGTATTTCTGTGATATCAGTTGTAACTTCTGTTTCATTTCTGATCTGAGTCTTGGCTTTTATTTATTTTTTTTTTTTAATAAGTCTGGCTAAAAGCTTATCAGTTTTGCTTATTTTTTCAAAGAACCCAGCTCTTAGTTTCATTGATCTTTTCTATTTTTTTTTTTCCAGTTTCTATTTCATTTATTTTTCCTGTTCCTCTACTTCTATTTCCTTTCTTCTGCCATCTTTGGACTTAACGCTTTTTTGCCTCTAATTCCATTAGGTGTAAAGTTAGATTGTTTTGTTTTAAAATATTTTATTTTTTTTATTTGACAGAGATCACGAGTAAGCAGAGAGGCAGGCAGAGAGAGTGGAGAAAGCAGGCTCCCTGCAGAGCAGAGAGCCCTATGCGGGGCTGGATCCCAGGACCCTGGGATCATGTTCTGAGCTGAAGGCAGAGGCTTTAACCACTGAGCCACCCAGGTGCCCCTAAAGTTAGATTGTTTATTCGATATTTTTCTTGTTTCTTGAAGTAAGCCCATCTTGCTATAAACTTCCTTCTTTGCTAAGTCTCAAAGATTTTGAACAAAGATTTTGTATTTTCCAATTTCATTTTTCTCCAAGTATTCCTTGATTTCTTCTTTGACTTCCTCAGTGACCCTTAAGTTGTATACTAGTATGCTGTTTAGCCTCCAAGTGTTTTGTGTTTTTTCCAGTTTTTTTTTTTCTTATAATTGATTTATAGTTTCATAGTACTATGGTTGAAAAAGATGTTTGGTATGATGTACAGTCTTCTTAAATTTACTGGTACTTATTTTGTGGCCTAATGACATCTATTTTGGAAAATATTCCATGTGCACTTGAATGTGTATTTTGTTTTTGAATGGAATATTCTGTATCTGTTAAGTCCATCTGATATAATGTGTCATTTAAAGCCACTATTTCCTTATTAACTTTCTGTCTGGATGATCTTTCTATCGATGTGTGCTAAAGTCTCCTACTTTGACTGTATTACTGTCCCATTTCTTTCTTCATGTTTGTTAATAGTTGCTTTTTGTATTTAGGTGCCCTGTGTTGGGTGCATAGATATTTACAATTGTTATATCCTCTTGTTAAATTGATCCTTTTATCATTATGTAAATGGCCATGATTATTTTTTGTTTCAATCTGTTTTAAAGTGTATTTTGTCTAAGTATTGCTACCCCAGGGTTTTTTTTTTCTATTTGCATGAAATAC